GGGGTTGGCCTGTACATTGCAGAGTCACTTGTTTGCACAGAACTGCTTAATGCCTCAAATGATGTAATGGAAGTTTTAGCAGTAAAGGTCGAGAACCAAAACCTAGTCATTGTGGTAGTCTACAAGCCTCCGGATGCAACATCCCAGCAATTCCAGGAACAGCTGTTAAAAATTGACCACTGTCTGGAAAATCTTCCAGCTCCTGCACCCAACATCTTGCTCCTGGGGGATTTCAACTTAAGGCACCTAAAATGGAGGAATATAGCAAATAATGTTGTTGCAGTAATAACACCAGGAGGCAGCTCTGATGAAAACTCACACTCACACGAGCTTTTAAATCTCTGCACAAAATTCAATTTAAACCAGCAAATAATAGAGCCTACTAGACTGGAGAATACACTAGACCTCATCTTCACTAACAATGATGATCTGATAAGAAATGTCACCATATCAAAAACAATATACTCAGATAACAACATAATTGAGGTTCAGACATGTATGCGCGGAGCCCCAGACCGACATAATGAGACTAGTCACGAGGGTGCATTCACCAAATTCAACTTCAATAACAAAAACATAAAGTGGGACCAAGTAAACCAAGTCCTAACCGATATAAGCTGGGAAGATATACTAAGCAACACAGACCCCAACTTATGCCTAGAACAGATTAACTTGGTGGCACTCGATGTATGCACAAGGCTTATTCCTCTAAGAAAAAGGAGGAGTAGATGTAAAATAGAAAGAGACAGGCGCTCCCTTTACAGACGACGGAAAAGAATAGCAGAGCGGCTAAAAGAGGTCAGTATATCTGAAATGCATAGGGAGACACTGGCCAGAGAAATAGCAAGCATCGAACTTAAGATAAAGGAATCTTATAGGAGTCAGGAATCGCGGGAAGAACTAAAAGCCATAAATGAAATCGAAAGAAGTCCAAAGTATTTCTTCTCCTATGCCAAATCAAAGTCGAGAACAACGTCCAGTATTGGGCCCCTACTTAAACAAGATGGGTCCTACACACATGACAGCAAGGAAATGAGTGAGCTACTCAAGTCCCAATATGACTCAGTTTTTAGCAAGCCGCTAACCAGACTGAGAGTCGAAGGTCAAAATGAATTTTTTATGAGAGAGCCACAAAATTTGGTTAACACAAGCCTATCCGATGTTATCCTGACGCCAAATGACTTCGAACAGGCGATAAATGACATGCCCATGCGCTCTGCCCAAGGGCCAGACTCATGGAACTCCGTGCTCATCAAGAACCGCAAGAAGCCCCTATCACGAGCCTCTACCACCCTATGGAGAAAGAGCATGGACACGGGGGTCATCCCACAGTTACTAAAAACAACAGACATAGCCCCACTCCACAAAGGGGGCAGTAAAGCAACAGCAAAGAACTACAGACCGATAGCACTAACATCCCATATCATAAAAATCTTTGAAAGGGTCCTAAGAAGCAAGCCTGCCACCCATCTAGAAACCCATCAGTTACACAACCCAGGGCAACATGGGTTTAGAACAGGTCGCTCCTGTCTGTCTCAACTATTGGATCACTACGACAAGGTCCTAGATGCACTAGAAGACAAAAAGAATGCAGATGTAATATATACAGACTTTGCAAAAGCCTTCGGCAAGTGTGACCATGGCGTAATAGCGCACAAAATGCGTGCTAAAGGAATAACAGGAAAAGTCGGTCGATGGATCTATAATTTCCTCACTAACAGAACACAGAGAGTAGTAGTCAACAGAGTAAAGTCCGAGGCAGCTACGGTGAAAGCTCTGTTCCACAAGGCACAGTACTCGCTCCCATCTTGTTCCTCATCCTCATACCTGACATAGACAAGGATGTCAGCCACAGCACCGTGTCTTCCTTTGCAGATGACACCCGAATCTGCATGACAGTGTCTTCCATTGCAGACACTGCAAGACTCCAGGCGGACATCAACCAAATCTTTCAGTGGGCTGCAGAAAACAATATGAAGTTCAACGATGAGAAATTTCAATTACTCAGATATGGTAAACACGAGGAAATAAAATCTTTATCAGAGTACAAAACAAATTCTGGCCACAAAATAGAGCGAAACACCAAAGTCAAAGACCTAGGAGTGATCATGTCGGAGGATCTCACCATCAAGGACCATAACATTGTATCAATCGCATCTGCTAGAAAAATGACAGGATGGATAATGAGAACCTTCAAAACTAGGGAGGCCAAGCCCACGATGACACTCTTCAGGTCACTTGTTCTATCTAGGCTGGAATATTGCTGCACACTAACAGCACCTTTCAAGGCAGGTGAAATTGCTGACCTAGAAAATGTACAGAGAACCTTCACGGCGCGCATAACGGAGATAAAACACCTGAATTACTGGGAGCACTTGAGGTTCCATAACCTGTATTCCCTGGAATGCAGGCGGGAGAGATACATGATTATATACACCAGGAAAATCCTAGAGGGACTAGTACAGAAATTGCACACGAAAATCACTCACTACGAAGGCAAAAGACATGGCAGACGATGCAACATCCCCCCAATGAAAAGCAGGGGTGTCATTAGCACGTTAAGAGACCATACAATAAATGTCAGGGGCCCGAGACTGTTCAACTGCCTCCCAGCATACATAAGGGGGATTACCAACAGACCCCTGGCAGTCTTCAAGCTGGCACTGGACAAGCACCTAAAGTCGGTTCCTGACCAGCCGGGCTGTGGCTCGTACGTTGGTTTGCGTGCAGCCAGCAGTAACAGCCTGGTTGATCAGGCTCTGATCCACCAGGAGGCCTGGTCACAGACCGGGCCGCGGGGGCGTTGACCCCCGGAACTCTCCAGGTAAACTCCAGGTACTCCAGCAAAGGACAGATATTAGAGAGCCTGGGAGTAAACACTGAGGCTGTCGGCTGAGAGCTGTCTACTTCTACCTAGACTGACAAAATGTATTGTATTATTTAGACGTGTGAGTGAGGAAGAGAAATACGTGAGTGATATACAAATGAGAGACTCCCTTGGAGACCTTGAACCAGACAGGTGTACTAGGGAGTGTGAAGGACTCACCTGGAGACCAAGGACCAGACAGGTGTACCAGGGAGTGTGAAGGGTTCACCTGGAGACCAAGGACCACACAGGTGTACCAGGGAGTGTGAAGGGCTCACCTGGAGACCAAGGACCACACAGGTGTACCAGGGAGTGTGAAGGGCTCACCTGGAGACCATGACCAGACAGGTGTAACCAGGGAGTGTGAAGGACTCACCTGGAGACCATGGACCACACAGGTGTACCAGGGAGTGTGAAGGGATCACCTGGAGACCATGGACCAGACAGGTGTACCAGGGAGTGTGAAGGACTCACCTGGAGACCATGGACCAGACAGGTGTACCAGGGAGTGTGAAGGGATCACCTGGAGACCATGGACCACACAGGTGTACCAGGGAGTGTGAAGGACTCACCTGGAGACCATGGACAAGACAGGTGTACCAGGGATCGTGAAGGGTTCACCTGGAGACCAAGGACCAGACAGGTGTACCAGGGAGTGTGAAGGACTCACCTGGAGACCATGGACAAGACAGGTGTACCAGGGATCGTGAAGGGTTCACCTGGAGACCAAGGACCAGACAGGTGTACCAGGGAGCGTGAAGGGTTCACCTGGAGACCAAGGACCAGACAGGTGTACCAGGGAGCGTGAAGGGTTTCACCTGGAGACCAAGGACCAGACAGGTGTACCAGGGAGCGTGAAGGGTTCACCTGGAGACCAAGGACCAGACAGGTGTACCAGGGAGCGTGAAGGGCTCACCTGGAGACCAAGGACCAGACAGGTGTACCAGGGAGTGTGAAGGGTTCACCTGGAGACCAAGGACCAGACAGGTGTACCAGGGAGCGTGAAGGGTTCACCTGGAGACCAAGGACCAGACAGGTGTACCAGGGAGCGTGAAGGGTTCACCTGGAGACCAAGGACCAGACAGGTGTACTAAGGGGAATGAAGGACTCACCTGGAGACCAAGGACCAGACAGGTGTACCAGGGAGCGTGAAGGGCTCACCTGGAGACCAAGGACCAGACAGGTGTACCAGGGAGCGTGAAGGGTTCACCTGGAGACCAAGAACCAGACAGGTGTACCAGGGAGTGTGAAGGGTTCACCTGGAGACCATGGACCAGACAGGTGTACCAGGGAGGATGAAGAACTCACCTGGAGACCATGGACCAGACAGGTGTACCAGGGAGTGTGAAGGGTTCACCTGGAGACCATGGACCAGACAGGTGTACCAGGGAGGATGAAGAACTCACCTGGAGACCATGGACCAGACAGGTGTACCAGGGAGTGTGAAGGGTTCACCTGGAGACCATGGACCAGACAGGTGTACCAGGAGGATGAAGAACTCACCTGGAGACCATGGACCAGACAGGTGTACCAGGGAGTGTGAAGGGTTCACCTGGAGACCAAGGACCACACAGGTGTACCAGGGAGGTTGAGACTCACCTGGAGACCAAGGACCACACAGGTGTACCAGGGAGTGCGGAGGGCTCACCCGGAGACCAAGGACCACACAGGTGTACCAGGGAGGATGAAAGACTCGCCTGGAGACCAAGGACCACACAGGTGTACCAGGGAGGATGAAAGACTCGCCTGGAGACCAAGGACCACACAGGTGTACTAGGGAGTGCGAAGGGCTCACCTGGAGACCAAGGACCACACAGGTGTACTAGGGAGTGCGAAGGGCTCACCTGGAGACCAAGGACCACACAGGTGTACTAGGGAGTGCGAAGGGCTCACCTGGAGACCAAGGACCACACAGGTGTACCAGGGAGTGCGAATCGCTCACCTGGAGACCAAGGACCACACAGGTGTACCAGTGAGGATGAAAGACTCGCCTGGAGACCAAGGACCACACAGGTGTACCAGTGAGGATGAAAGACTCGCCTGGAGACCAAGGACCACACAGGTGTACCAGGGAGCATGAGACTCACCTGGAGACCAAGGACCACACAGGTGTACCAGGGAGGATGAGACTCACCTGGAGACCAAGGACCACACAGGTGTACCAGGGAGGGTTGTCCTCCACGCTGTACAATAACCTGCTGCTCGTGTTGTCCCCCACCAGTACTTCACGAGATTTGGTCATCTCCTCCTCCTCCTCCTTGCTGCTGGGGGGGCGTTGCTCCCCTTCCTCATCCTCCTTCAGACCCCCCACGTCCACACTTCCATCCACACACTCCATCTGTCGGGACAAGAGAGAAGCTGTTAATGTAAATAAGTAAAGATATTTATTCAAAATGGCACTGGCACTGGCACTGGACAAGCACCTAAAGTCGGTTCCTGACCAGCCGGGCTGTGGCTCGTACGTTGGTTTGCGTGCAGCCTGCAGTAACAGCCTGGTTGATCAGGCTCTGATCCATCAGGAGGCCTGGTCACAGACCGGGCCGCGGGGGCGTTGACCCCCGGAACTCTCTCCAGGTAAACTCCAGGTAGCATGACGGAGTGCGCAGCGCCAGCATGAAACCTAAGCTTGGTAACTCACACGAAAAAGTCACTAGCATGACTGGTGCTGGTACTGAAGCTACTAGTATGGTGCTGGTACTGAAGCTACTAGTATGGTGCTGGTACTGAAGCTACTAGTATGGTGCTGGTACTGAAGCTACTAGTATGGTGCTGGTACTGAAGCTACTAGTATGGTGCTGGTACTGAAGCTACTAGTATTGTGCTGGTACTGAAGCTACTAGTATGGTGCTGGTATTGAAGCTACTAGTATGGTGCTGGTACTGAAGCTACTAGTATGGTGCTCGTACTGAAGCTACTAGTATTGTGCTGGTACTGAAGCTACTAGCATGACAGGTGCTGGTACTGAAGCTACTAGTATGGTGCTGGTACTGAAGCTACTAGTATGGTGCTCGTACTGAAGCTACTAGTATTGTGCTGGTACTGAAGCTACTAGCATGACAGGTGCTGGTACTGAAGCTACTAGTATTGTGCTGGTACTGAAGCTACTAGTATGGTGCTGGTACTGAAGCTACTAGCATGACTGTTGCTGGTACTGAAGCTACTAGCATGACTGGTGCTGGTACTGAAGCTACTAGCATGACTGGTCCTGATACTGAAGCTACTAGCATGACTGGTGCTGGTACTGAAGCTACTAGCATGACTGGTGGTGGTACTGAAGCTTCTAGCATGAGTGGTGCTGGTACTGAAGCTACTAGCATGACTGGTGCTGGTACTGAGGCTACTAGCATGACTGATGCTGGTACTGAAGCTACTAGCATGACTGGTGCTGGTACTGAAGCTACTAGCGTGACTGGTGGTGGAACTGAAGCTTCTAGCATGACTGGTGCTGGTACTGAAGGTACTAGCATGACTGGTGCTGGTACTGAAGCTACTAGCATGACTGGTGCTGGTACTGAAGCTACTAGCATGACTGGTGCTGGTACTGAAGCTACTAGCATGACTGATGCTGGTACTGAAGCTACTAGCATGACTGGTGCTGGTACTGAAGTTTCTAGCATGACTGGTGCTGGTACTGAAGCTACTAGCATGACTGGTGGTGGTACTGAAGCTACTAGCATGACTGGTGCTGGTACTGAGGCTACTAGCATGACTGGTGCTGGTACTGAAGCTACTAGCATGACTGGTGCTGGTACTGAAGCTACTAGCATGAGTGGTGGTGGTACTGAAGCTACTAGCATGACAGGTGCTGGTACTGAAGCTACTAGCATGACAGGTGCTGGTACTGAAGCTACTAGCATGACTGGTGCTGATACTGAAGCTACTAGCATGACTGGTGCTCGTACTGAAGCTACTAGCATGACTGGTGCTGATACTGAAGCTACTAGCATGACTGGTGGTGGTATTGAAGCTACTAGCATGACAGGTGCTGGTACTGAAGCTACTAGCATGACTGGTGGTGGTACTGAAGCTACTAGCATGACAGGTGCTGGTACTGAAGCTACTAGCATGACTGGTGGTGGTACTAAAGCTACTAGCATGACAGGTGCTGGTACTGAAGCTACTAGCATGACTGGTGGTGGTATTGAAGCTACTAGCATGACAGGTGCTGGTACTGAAGCTACTAGCATGACTGTGGGTGGTATTGGAAGCTACTAGCATGACAGGTGCTGGTACTGAAGCTACTAGCATGACTGGTGGTGGTACTGAAGCTACTAGCATGACAGGTGCTGGTACTGAAGCTACTAGCATGACTGGTGCTGGTACTGAAGCTACTAGCATGACTGGTGCTGGTACTGAAGCTACTAGCATGACTGGTGGTGGTACTGAAGCTACTAGCATGGCTGGTGGTGGTACTGAAGCTACTAGCATGACAGGTGCTGGTACTGAAGCTACTAGCATGACTGGTGGTGGTACTGAAGCTACTAGCATGACAGGTGCTGGTACTGAAGCTACTAGCATGACTGGTGGTGGTACTGAAGCTACTAGCATGACAGGTGCTGGTACTGAAGCTACTAGCATGACTGGTGCTGATACTGAAGCTACTAGCATGACTGATGCTGGTACTGAAGCTACTAGCATGACTGGTGGTGATACTGAAGCTACTAGCATGACAGGTGCTGGTACTGAAGCTACTAGCATGACTGGTGGTGGTACTGAAGCTACTAGGATGACAGGTGCTGGTACTGAAGCTACTAGCATGACTGGTGCTGGTACTGAAGCTACTAGCATGACTGGTGCTGGTACTGAAGCTACTAGCATGACTAGTGCTGGTACTGAAGCTACTAGCATGACAGGTGCTGGTGCTGAAGCTACTAGCATGACTGGTGCTGATACTGAAGCTACTAGCATGACAAGTGCTGGTACTGAAGCTACTAGCATGACAGGTGCTGGTGCTGAAGCTACTAGCATGACTGGTGGTGGTACTGAAGCTACTAGCATGACTGGTGCTGGTACTGAAGCTACTAGCATGACTGATGCTGGTACTGAAGCTACTAGCATGACAAGTGCTGGTACTGAAGCTACTAGCATGACAGGTGCTGGTGCTGAAGCTACTAGCATGACTGGTGGTGGTACTGAAGCTACTAGCATGACTGGTGCTGGTACTGAAGCTACTAGCATGACTGGTGGTGGTACTGAAGCTACTAGCATGACTGATGCTGGTACTGAAGCTACTAGCATGACTGGTGGTGATACTGAAGCTACTAGCATGACAGGTGCTGGTACTGAAGCTACTAGCATGACTGGTGGTGGTTCTGAAGCTACTAGCATGACAGGTGCTGGTACTGAAGCTACTAGCATGACTGGTGCTGGTACTGAAGCTACTAGCATGACTGGTGCTGGTACTGAAGCTACTAGCATGACTAGTGCTGGTACTGAAGCTACTAGCATGACAGGTGCTGGTGCTGAAGCTACTAGCATGACTGGTGCTGATACTGAAGCTACTAGCATGACAAGTGCTGGTACTGAAGCTACTAGCATGGCAGGTGCTGGTGCTGAAGCTACTAGCATGACTTGTGGTGGTACTGAAGCTACTAGCATGACTGGTGCTGGTACTGAAGCTACTAGCATGACTGATGCTGGTACTGAAGCTAGTAGCATGACAAGTGCTGGTACTGAAGCTACTAGCATGACTGGTGGTGGTACTGAAGCTACTAGCATGACTGATGCTGGTACTGAAGCTACTAGCATGACTGGTGGTGGTACTGAAGCTACTAGCATGACTGGTGCTGGTACTGAAGCTACTAGCATGACTGCTGCTGGTACTGAAGCTACTAGCATGACTGGTGCTGGTACTGAAGCTACTAGCATGACTGGTGGTGGTACTGTAGCTTCTAGCATGACTGGTGCTGGTACTGAAGCTACTAGCATGACTGATGCTGGTACTGAAGCTACTAGCATGACTGGTGCTGGTACTGAAGCTACTAGCATGACTGGTGCTGGTACTGAAGCTACTAGCATGACTGATGCTGGTACTGAAGCTTCTAGCATGACTGGTGCTGGTACTGAAGCTACTAGCATGACTTGTGCTGGTACTGAAGCTACTAGCATGACTGGTGCTGGTACTGAAGCTTCTAGCATGACTGGTGGTGGTACTGAAGCTACTAGCATGACTGGTGGTGGTACTGAAGCTACTAGCATGACAGGTGCTGGTACTGAAGCTACTAGCATGACTGGTGCTGGTACTGAAGCTACTAGCATGACTGGTACTGGTACTGAAGCTACTAGCATGACAGGTGCTGGTACTGAAGCTACTAGCATGACAGGTGGTGGTACTGAAGCTACTAGCATGACAGGTACTGGTACTGAAGCTACTAGCATGACTGGTGGTGGTACTGAAGCTACTAGCATGACAGGTGCTGGTACTGAAACTACTAACATGACAGGTGGTGATACTGAAGCTACTAGTATGACAGGTACTGGTACTGAAGCTTCTAGCATGACTGGTGGTGGTACTGAAGCTACTAGCATGACAGGTGGTGGTACTGAAGCTACTAGCATGACAGGTGCTGGTACTGAAGCTACTAGCATGACTGGTGCTGGTACTGAAGCTACTAGCATGACTGGTACTGGTACTGAAGCTACTAGCATGACAGGTGCTGGTACTGAAGCTACTAGCATGACAGGTGCTGGTACTGAAGCTACTAGCATGACAGGTACTGGTACTGAAGCTACTAGCATGACTGGTGGTGGTACTGAAGCTACTAGCATGACAGGTGCTGGTACTGAAGCTACTAGCATGACAGGTGTGGTACTGAAGCTATAGCATGACAGGTACTGGTACTGAAGCTACTAGCATGACTGGTGGTGGTACTGAAGCTACTAGCATGACAGGTGGTGGTACTGAAGCTACTAGCATGACTGGTACTGGTACTGAAGCTACTAGCATGACAGGTGCTGGTACTGAAGCTACTAGCATGACAGGTGGTGGTACTGAAGCTACTAGCATGACAGGTACTGGTTACTGAAGCTACTAGCATGAACTGGTGGTGGTACTGAAGCTACTAGCATGACAGGTGCTGGTACTGAAGCTACTAACATGACAGGTGGTGGTACTGAAGCTACTAGTATGACAGGTACTGGTACTGAAGCTTCTAGCATGACTGGTGGTGGTACTGAAGCTACTAGCATGACAGGTGGTGGTACTGAAGCTACTAGCATGACAGGTGCTGGTACTGAAGCTACTAGCATGACTGGTGCTGGTACTGAAGCTACTAGCATGACTGGTACTGGTACTGAAGCTACTGCATGACAGGTCGGTACTGAAGCTACTAGCA